TATTGACCAATGAAAATAACACAATATACAGATAACCCTCCTCCATCATTTCCCCTTTTTCTGTTTAAACAAAAAAGAAAGGCGTTCATTTTAACATAGTAAAATTATATATAACAAAACAGTTATCAAGCAAGAATTACAGTCACAATATTTATAACTATATCTTTATCATAATAATGGAGAACTATAACTATGACTATCCATTCTTCAACTCCATCAAAGACTCCAGAAGGATATAATATTACCTAAGTAAACAAGAAGGAAGCAACTTCCAAAATTCTAGAAATGACAGAGACATCTTGCTGCCTGGACAGTCACCCAAAGTTCCTCTGTATTGTTGGGGCACCCATCTTAGGCCTTCAGGCCCATAATATCCAGCAGACATTCCCATGAAGCAGGATTTCAAAGGCAGTTCAGTCACTATCTGCTGTGTCCTGCAGAATGTCTCGCAGACTCTTTCATGAATCAGGAACCCCGAAAGATTATCTCACCTTTAGGCAAGTTCAGCAGTCCTCTCTCTGCAGGTTCTCTGTGTCCAGTTTATACAACAGTCCAGGCAAGAGCAGTTTCTTGCCCAAAATGACTATCAAACTCCATAAGGAACCTCTTCAATGCCCATCTTCCTCTTGAAGTAGATTGGTACTGCCAGGAGCAGATGTGTCTCATTGTCATGAAAAGTCCTAAGTTATTAAAACATTAAATGCCATGTTCTGTAGTCTTTGAAAGATATGAAGAATGCCTATCTGAAATATATCTATGCACATCTAGAAAATCAAACTAACATTACTACAAGCTTGACTATTATCAATGATTATCCATTAACCACCTATATTTTTAATTATACATTACATTTTTAAATGAACTACACAATCACAATACCTCAATCAAGAACAGAAATATATATACATAGAACAAAATTGACCTTAAAATCCATACCAATGAAATTATTCATATCTATATCATATCCCCCTTTAAATGTAAAAGAACATTTATAAACAATATTTGGGAATATGGACATAGTTATTTCTCTCCAAACTTCTTCCTGCTGTATAGGGGCACAGTTAATCAGGTCTTTCATGGTATAACCTGTCTGCCAGGTTCATCTCAGTCGGTAGAGCATGAGACTCTTAATCTCAGGGTCGTGGGTTCATGCCCCACGTTGGGCGCCATCTGTATTGAGGGGCTGTGGGCAGGCCTGCTTTTCATCCTGCCTGGCTCCCGCATAGCTAGCTTAGCCCCAGAAATAACAACACACAAATTGTATTCATTTAAACACTGCCTGGCCCATTATCTCTAGAGAGTTAGTTACTGACTAACTCTCATATCTTGATATTAACCCATTTCTAATAATCTCGTGGTAGCACCACGAGGTAGTGGCTTACCGGAAAAGATTCAGCATGTCTGACCTGGTGGCTGGCTCCATGGCATCTGCCTCATAGGCCTCTTCCCAGCATTCTGTTCTGATTACTCTGCCTACCTAATTTTCTGTCCTATCAAGGGGCCAAGGCAGTCTCTTTATTGACCAATGAAAATAACACAATATACAGATAACCCTCCTCCATCTGTAATAAATTGAGTGTTTAATTTTTCTGATTTTAATTTGTTTAGGATTGAGAAAATTCACATGGGTGAAATGTAGGGCAGTCAGATTTGGACTGTTGAACTTAGCAACCTGTAAGTGCTCATTCACTTTTTGAGATAGGATTTCTTGGCTGGCTTGGAATTCACTGTGTTTTAGACAGTTTGGCTGCTGAGAAAGCCCTGGTTGTTCTCTTGTCTCCTCCGCAGCACTGTGCTGGGACCTGAACTCAGCTTCTCACTCTGTGCTTTATGGCTGATCCATCTTAGTGACCCTGAACACAGACTTAAAAACATCCTCTGTGCCTTAGATGGAGACGGCAAAATGTCTGTAGCACATCATTGTGATTTTTAGGTTTGAAATGGAAGTGAAGGAAGTAACGGAAAGGAATCTCTTAACTGTGTAGCATAAATGTGCTTCTAAGTCTTAGCATTTTTGTTTTGTAGCTGTTGGTTTATGAAGTTACAGAGAAAGTTGACAGTAAAACAAATCTATATTGGTTTATGTTTTTAACTTTACTTCCTTCTTGTATTTTTAGCTTGATAGCTGGTCATTTCTACAAAGATTTAACTATACTTTGTACCCTATCACCTTCCCGAGCGACAGCGCAGTGGAGTGGAAGAAGCTCTTTAAGCCGTGTGCTTCCCAGAGGCTGTTCTTGCCGGTGAGTTGTTTTCTCTCCCAGCATGTACTTTCTTTCTATTTAAACTTGAAGCTTAGTTTTCTACAGATGATGTCTTGGTTAGTGTTCAATTGCTGTGAAGGGACACATGTCCATGGCAGCTCTTTGATTGGGGCCGGCTCACAGGTCCAGTGGTTTCATCCTTTATTGTCATGAAGGAAAGCATGGTGGCAGACAGTCCGACCTGGTGCTGATCAAAGGCAGCAGGAGGAGAGACACTGGTCCTGACTGGAACATTTGGAACTCAGAGCCCACCTCAAGAGACACATTTCTTCCTCCAGGGCCACACCTCTGACTAGTGCCACTCCCTGGTGACCAAGCATTCAAATCTGTGAGCCTATGGGGGCATTCCTTCTCACACTACCACAGAAGAGTTTCTGAATAATTACATTTAAACCTCTTTAAGTAAACAAAGGCACATGTCAAACAAGAGAAAAAAGTTTCCATAGAACAAGTCAGGGCTGTAATAACAACCAGAAAGGCGAAAAGTTTGGGGCTTTGGATTTAATTTAGCTCACTGGTAGAGCTGATTCTCAACACTGGTAATTTCTGCTGAAACAGCATTTCTTACACATAGTTGCTGTGGACTGTTTTAGCCATGGGAAGGAATACTTATCAGGTGTTGGTAGGGTGTGTGACCTGCAGGCCCCTGCTGGCTGAACCCGCAACTTGTCACTGATGACATTTCTGTCCTAGGCCAGTTGGCCTCCCTTTCCTAAGTGATCTTGAATCAGTTACCCAGCTGTAAGGCAGGGGAGCTCAGAGACAGTGGGAGCCATTTCTTTACTAGAGCTCTTCTTTGGTGATTTTGGTAATAAACCCCAGGCTAAAGTTACCCGAAGTTTGAGTTGATTTCACTTAAAATTTAAAAGCCATAGTAGTTTTTTCAGCTCTTAATGTTTAAAATTCTTATGGTATATTCAGTTTAAAAATAAATAAAAAATGCTTATGATGGTAGTTGGGTGGCTGTAGTGTACACCTTTAATCTCAGCACTTGGGAAGCAGAGGAAATGAATCTCCAAGCTCAAGGCCAGCCCAGTCTACTGAGTGAGTTCCAGGACAGCCGGGGCTACAGAGTAACCCTGTCTACAATAATAAACAAACAAATAATGATGATAATAATAATGGTCATATTAAAAGCTTAAAAAGTCTAAAACATCTTAGAATTTTCCTTATTTGTGTGTCTTAATAGCAGAAGCAAAAACTGAGAAAGATTCTAGGATCCAAATTTTTTAAGTATAGCCTCAGAGATCTCTGTGAAGCCAATGTGACGATCAGAATCCTAACATGAAAGCTGGTCTTGTGACCCAGCACATGGAAGGGTAACAAATTTGCAGAGTAGCAGAGCAAGGATCAAGTCTTGTTCTCATTGTGTCTTAACTAAAATGTTTCAGGACCAGCCAGCCAGCTGCCTGGCTCTATGAATGAGGCTTAGCTATGAACACAACCATTACAAAGTTGTAAACATTCATAGAGCTTTAGGAGAACTGTTTCTTTTACTTTGGTAACTTGATTGCATGGTCCTCCAGCTGTGAACTTTGTAGATGATGTCATGTTGCACATGTCAAAAGGTTGGATACTCCTGCTAGGCTAATCTAGTCATTCATTGAGTTTTACGAATATTCCAGGATAGGCAACAAGTTTGCAAGAGTTATTTTTAAAGTTTGTAAGAAAAAATGAAAACTTATTTTTGAAAAATCTCTGTGGATGGTACTCAAGGTTTCAATTTTAAAAAGTGCAACAGAGTCAATCTTTTAAAATAAAAGTCTGCTTCTGTCCTTGTTCTTCCTTAAGTGAGGTTTTGATGTGTTGATGGTGTGTATCGAAACAGGAGCATAGACTAGAGCATATAGCTTGGGCTCAGTTTGTCTTTGCACTTTGTAGTGCAGACTGAAGTGATGGCGGGCAGTGTTCGGGCAGGGGAGGGGTCTGGGAGACCTCCATTATATCGCTTCGTTTGTGTCTAGTTACCTGCTCTTGAGGCTCAGTGTATGGAACCATCTGAAGTTAATGTATTTTATATCTTGAAGAACAGTTTTTTCCTAACCATTCATGTATTTTTTTCTCACTGTAAGTGAGTTTTTTTTTTAAAAATTAGGGTTTGTTTTGTTTTTTTCTAGCTTTTCTAAAAAATGGTGAAAAAACTAGCAATGTACTAATTAGAAATGGCATTTCAGAAAAAAATTATCTTAAAACATAGTAAACTGACTTATTTTTAAGTGTAATTTCTATTACTATGCTTTTATTAAAAAGATATATTTATAACTAATTGTTCAAATACCTTTCCTTATAGTTAATCCTGAAAGAAGTTGATTCACTACTCTATGTTGACACTGATATCCTATTTTTACGACCTGTTGATGATATTTGGTCATTACTAAAGAAATTTAATTCCACACAAATCGCTGCGATGGCCCCCGAGCATGAGGAACCTCGAATAGGATGGTACAATCGCTTTGCTCGGCACCCGTACTACGGGAAGACCGGGGTGAACTCCGGAGTGATGCTGATGAACATGACGCGAATGAGGAGGAAGTACTTCAAGGTAACTCGATGCGCAGCAGCATGGTTGATTGCAGCTTCCCTTTCTCCTGGAACTTTTGTTTTCCCTAAGTCCAAAACTAAAGTAGGGGCTGGAGAGACACTCAGTGAGTAAGACTCCTACATGGACAGTGACGAGGTTTTAGCATCTACATAGGCAGCTCGCCTGTAACTCTAGCTCCAGGGTTCGGAGGCCCTCTCCTGCGTCTGCAGGCACATACAAATACACATACACATAAGTAAAAATGAAGCAGATGTTTTAAAAAAATACATAGATTTAGGGCTCATACATAGATGGCTCAGTTGTTAAGTATATCTGCTGTTCTCACAGAGTCCCAAATTCACAACCGTAACTCTAATTCCAGGGCATCTGATGCCTTTTCTGGTCTCTAAGGGCACCAGGCAATCCCATGGGTGAGTGTAAGCAAAACACATAAAATAAAAATAAGTATATTGTGTGTGCGTGCATGTGTGTGTTGTGTATCTCCAGATGTGGTGATACACACCTTTAATTCTAGCACTCAGGAGGCAGAGATAGGCAGATCTCTTTGCCAGCCAGAACTACATAGTTAAGCACTATCTCAACCCCGAATATATATATATATATATATATATATATATGTATACACACATGATATAATTGTGTGTACACACACACACACACGTATGAGATGGACAGGTACAAAACTGTTTAGGATGATTGGATAAAAATATGTTCATAATGTTATTTAGTGGCAAATTCAAGTGGGCCACATCAGATGGTATTTCTCATGATGAAGTAAAATAGTGTACCAACTAGTACTTCTAGACTTTGCAGGAAACTGCCATCATTTTATAGTGGTAGGCATAGAGAACTTGAATCTGAAGTGACGTTCAGGCAGAGTTTTGGTTATCAACATAGATTCTGCAGCCTGTCCGTCTGACTCTAACTTTGGTACCATAGTAGTTCAGTGACCTGGAGTGAGTTTTGAGTCTCTCTCAGGGTCTTTGTCATCTGAATGGTTAACTCCAGGGGATCCTGTGCCTTCCCTTTTCCTTCACAGGTAACTGTATCAACAATGAACACATACATTACTTGGGCACATACACATAACTTAAAAATTAGGCAAATTTTTAAATATTAGGTGAAACCAATTAAAAAGAACTTCTGAGAAAACACAGACTTCTCTCCAATGCCTATTCTGTTATATCTAGGTAGGATTAAATTAATTAAATTAATTTAAGGGGTTTTAGGAGTCATATATATTTTGCAATTGTATTTTTCAAATATTTTTCTGTGGCTTCTGGCAGATCAAAATTTGCATTATTTTTCCCTTCTACACATCTGTTTAAATCTCTATGTTATGAAGAATTTTTTCTTTTGTTGTTTTGTTTTGAGCCACGGTCTCTCTGTACTCCTGGCTTTTCTGCAACTTGCTATGTAGACCGGGCATCTTCCCACTTCGCTCTGCCTCCAAAATGTTGGAGTTAAAGTTGTATACCCCCATGTCTGTGCCAGTTTTTTCTTAAGTATGGACAGTGTGCTGCTTGTTGGTGTCACCACTGTATGCCAGCCTTTCCATCTTAGAATCTGTAGTGTGTATCACGTTATTCTCTATCCATCACATAAACTGTTCTTTTTAGCTTTCCATTTTCTGGGTCTTTACAAAGATCTTGATTTTTTAAAATTCAGTTTGTCTCCCAGAACTCAATGAATGCAGTCAGTGTTCTGTTGATGTATTAGTTAGAGGTTTCTAGAGGAACAGAACTGATAGAATGGGGGGAAAAACATGTATTTTCAATATGTGTGTGTGTATGCACATACATATACATATGGGATTTATTGGAATGGCTTACAGGATGTGGTCCTGCTAGTCCAACAATGGCTGTCTACCAACAGAAGGCTAGATATGTCAGCTGCTCTTCATTGTGCCTTGGAATGCTGAAGAAGTAGACTCTAATGCTAGTGAAGGAATGGACTTGCCATCGAGAGTGAGGGCAAGCAAGCAGAGGGCAAAGAGCTTCCTACTTCCATGTCCTTTATATAGGCTGCTAGCAGAAAGTGTGACCCAGATAAAAGGTGGATCTTCCCACTACAAATGACTTAATTAAGAAAAATTCCTCACAGGTGCTTGGGTTTTAGTTAATTCCAGGCGTAGTTAAATTGACACGAAGAATAACCATCACAGTTGGCATCTGCTCTTGCTTAATAATTAATATTTTGTTTAGTTTGCACTTATGCTTCGAATATTTACTATTTGTGGAGCATAAAGCTTTTTTCTTTCTTTCTTTTTTTTTGTGGAGCCAACATAACAGATGATTGTTGTTCCATGTGCCAAACTGTGCATAGTAATATCATGCCAGAAGATGGTGCTGTAAGATTATCTGCTAAGAATTATGGGACTTCTCATCAGCTGCATTTGAGCCTTGTAGAATTATGAGTTTAGTATTTTTTTTAAAAAAAAATAACTGTGGAAATAATTTAACACTTTGATTTTTAATTGGGCAATATATCTCAAGTTCATGACTGCTCTCAGTTTATCTGTTATTTCCTTGATGTTCACTCTTAACCACGAGTAGATCCCATCTCTCCCTTTCCCCTTTTCTTTTGGCATGTCTTAAGCCAGCTAGAGGTGAGGATATAGAGATTTAAATAATTTCTAAACTTTTATATCTTTTTTCCTTTTTTTTTTTTTGAAAGTAATTTTATTAAATTATAAAAAGTTTCCATTTACGCCCCTCCTCCCAACGCCCTCCCACTCCCCCCCCTCCCTCTCCTCCTCCCTCTTTGTCCCCAAGGGCAGTCAGGGTCTCCTGCCCTGTGGGAAGTCCAAGTTCCTCCCCCCTCCCTCCAGGTCCAGGAAGGTGAGCATCCAAACAGACTGGATCCCAAAAATCCAGTATATGCAGAAGAAACCAGTCCCAGTGTCATTGTCAATGGCTTCTCAGAAAGACTGCAGGCCAGCCACATTCAGAAAATCCGGCCACATTCAGAGAATCTGGTTGGATCACATGCTCGTTCAGTCACGGTCCATCTGGCCTTGGTAAACTCTCATTAGATCCGACCCCTTGTATCAGTGGGTGATAGTATCCCTCGCAGTCCTTCGTCATTTTCTTCCTCCTTCTGCTCCTCATTTGGATCTTGGGGGGCTCAGTTCGGTGATCTTTTTTCCTCTTAAAAAGATTTATTTATATCTTTATTTCTGTTTGTTCCTGACTATGTGTGCACAATGTTTATATAAACCAGAAGTCTTCTAGATCCCCTTGGGCTAGAGTTAGTTATAGGTAGTTGTAAACTTCTGGGACTTGAACTCCAGTCTTCTTCAAGAGCAGCAAGTGCTCTTACCTGCTGAACCATCCCTCCAGCCTGATGAAATGTTTTGTTTTGTGCACTAGTGGCTTTCCAGAGGAAGAGCTGAGTGGATTGAGCATATGTAACTATGTGGGTGGAATTGACTGCATTCACAGTCCGAGTGTTCACACAGCTCCTTTACGCTTAGGGACACAATCCCATTGTTCTTTAGTTTTGTACATGAACTTGTTCAGATGGTTCTATAGAATTTACTTATTTTTAAAATGTATTTCCTCGTGCATATTTTTCTTTCTTTTTTCATAGCAAGCAAATTTTAATAATATTAACAACATACTTCCATCTAATTTGATCTCCTCTTCAGCCACAAACCAAAATTGAGTATCTTCTCAACCCAAGCACATTGTGGTTGCACGACTGTGGCCCCAGTACTCAAGAAGTGGACATGAGAGAGGATCTAGAGTTCAAGGCTAACCTCAACTATATAGCAAGACCCTTTAAAAAAAAAATCCCGAGACTGATGAGATGGCTCAGCAGTGAAGAGCACATACTGCTTTTCCAGAGGACCCAAGTTCAATTCCCAACACCCACTTCAGGCATCCCACAATCAGCTTTAACTCCAGGGAGGGGGGTCTCACACCTCTGGGCTATGCAGGCACCTGAACTCACACACACAGACACACATAATAAAAAATATTAAGGTGCTGGAGAGATGGCTCCATGGTTAAGAGCACTGTCTACTCCTCTAGAGGACCTGGGTTCAATTCCCAGCACCCACATAGCAGCTCACAACTGTCTGTCACTCCAGTCCTAGGGGATCCAGTGCCCTCTTCTGGCCACCATAGACACCAGGCACGCACATGGTACATGGGCAAACATGCAAACAAAACACCCATATATATAAGTAATAAAAATTTTGAATATATTAAAATAGTTTTAAAATGTGGATATTTTTCTACATAGTTTTTCTATCTCTAATCTGTAGCAAATATTGCCTTGGTTCTCCCTGTTCAATAACTCTGGGCACAGATCATCAATCAATCTTTACCATTTGACTTGCAGTCACTTCCCAGATTGTCCCATACAACCAAAAGAGTACTTGTTTATAGTAGAAACCATATTTAAATTGTCTGTTTGTATGGCTGACACTTGTTCTTAGCATTATGACTGTGCAGTTCCAATCTGCTACATCGTAACACTTAAAAAATTAAAACAATAAAAATTCATTTTTGTTCTTTATCTCTCTCCCTGCTTGGTAAGCAGTGATGCCCTATTGGTTAAACTATTAATATATACTTAGATTTTGTGTCCTGATCATATTTGCAGTGTTGAATCTTTGTTTTTTTTGCATGTATATTCATGTTTGTTAAATACACACACACATATGTTGCATGTTTGCATGTATATACATGCATACATTCATGCAGCGACCTAAAGTTGATGTCTTTCTGGGAGCTCACCAATTATGCCTAGGCTTCCTTACACCAGCGATCCTCTGTGCCTCCCAAGTACTGGGATTACAGGTAGCTGCCACACCTGCCTGCTTTTGTCTGCCTCCTGGGGATGTACAATCTGTCTTTATACTTGTGTGACAAGTTACCCATTAAACCATCTTCCCAGTTCTCTTTCTTTTTGGTTGTGAGCCTTGCCTTTAATGGCTGAGCTGTCTCTCCAGCCTTTTTCTTTTTTGAGACAGGGTCTCTTTATGACCTTATGTGGTTTAAGGTGTGGTCTCAGATTTCAAGTACTGAGGTTACAGGTTTGCACCATCACACACAGATCTTTCCTTTTTCTTAGAAAATGATGAGCATGTTACTTAACATCTCTTATTTATTAGAGAAACAGAAAATACTTTTCTTGTATGTATTCTATTCCATGCCATATGGAATATGTTGCATTGTGGAAGTGTTTTGATCTGTTTATTTCTACCTAATGAGTGCAAGGTTTATCTTTTGTTGTTTCCGGAACTTTTCCTGGGGAGATAAATGTCCACCTCTTCCTTAAAATGACTCTGATGACAAACCATAGTACAATGATGTCACTAGATCAAACTTGAGGAACCAGACTTTATTTGGCTTGCTTATGGAGCATGGTTGTAGAATTTGTTTGTTTTTACCAGAGAGTGGATTACACCTGTGGGATCCCCTTTAGTTAACCTACCACCTCCTGTATACACTAAGACCTCCTAAGACCTCAAGGTTGGGTGCAGAATTACACATAAATGGCTCAGAGGTGAGCAGAGGAAGTCTCAGCTAAAGGGCTCATACTGTCCTCATATGTTTTTATGATGGATATGACAGTTGACAAGGCTGATTGTGCATGTGACCACAGCTGTTCTGAAGCTTAAGGCCCTTAAGCTTACAGGACAGTCCTCAGACAGCAGGCGTCCTGCCCTGTCACTCTCCACCTCTTCTCTTGAGTCAGGCTCTCATTGGTCCTGGGCTTGGGTGGTGGCCAACAAACCTAAATGATCTTCCCATCTCCTGCCCCACCCAGTGCTGTGAGCATAGCTTTTTTACATTGATACTGAGGATCTGAACTAAGGTTCTCATTCTTGAGCAGCAAGTGCTCTTAGATGCTGAGCCATCTCCCCAGCTCCTTGAAAATCTTTTCATGTAGTTTATTGTCATTTCTGTTTCCTGTTGTGAATATCTTCTTTAATTGTATATTTATGTATTAGTTATACATGAATTATACACACATTCATATATTATGTATGTGCACAAATGTATGTGTATTCAGCACATGTACACACACACACACACACACACACACACACGTACAGTCTGTGATGAAGTGAAGACTGTGTCCTTAAAATGGACTCAGGTTTAGTATCTATGTGTTGTGTTACAATTGGGGTTGAACCTGAAGGAATGTGGTAAGAAGTGCTCAGTACAGGCCCAGTACAGTGTCTGGCTGCACCTTTTTTTGGCACCAGGACTGCTGTTTCTTTTATAATTAAAAGTTTAAAGAAATTATTGAAAATTAATCAATAAAATATTACAAATTAAGTTTTAACACTAAAAAACTGTGCTTCCCCAGCATTTAGGAGGCAGAGAGAAGCAAGAGGTTTGAGGCCATGAGTTTGAGGTCAGCCTGGATCACATAAGGTTGTGTGTTCAAAAAAAGCAATAAACAAAAATTAGATTGAAGTGGGTGGGAAATAAAGAGCAAAGAAAGAAAACTTAATGAATTTTGTGTACTGTGGTACAGTAGTTCCCCCACTATTTGAAGAGACTGTGTTACACGACTCTCAGAGAATGCCTCAGTGAAGGATGGGTTACTATGGAATTTTTCCCTGGGGAGGCATGAACAAATGTCTACTTACCCCAGACAGGGCACCAGTGATGTGTGTTCTCAGCATCCTTGCCTTACCAAGCTACGAACTTTCCAAGGTGGGTGTGCTGGTGCAATTTGTATCTTAGCTTTCCAGAGGCAGAGGCAGGAAAATGATGAGTTTGAGGATAGCCCTGGGCTACATGGCAAAACCTTGTTCCAAAAAACAAAACAAAAACCACTTTTCATAGTCCTTCCCTTAAGATGAAGATGTGGTTGAGCTGTCATCCTCCTTTCCTTTCCTTGCTGTCTTTTGTCTGTCTCAGTTCTATCCCTGCTGTTTCTACCTTCTGTGCTGCCTTCCCGTCTCATACTGGCAGCCCTCCTCACATTTAGGATAATAAATGACACATAGTTTTGTAGCAGAGGAGTTTTCCTTTCTCTTTGTGGCTTTGTAATGGTTGCTAAGGGAAGAATGGGAGCTGCCATGCTACCACTTAACCATCAATGCTGAGACTCTTCAATGCTTTATCAACAGAATGATATGACAACCGCACGGCTGCAGTGGGGCGACATACTTATGCCATTGCTTAAAAAGTACAAACTAAACATCACGTGGGGTGATCAAGATCTGTTAAATATCATGTTTTTTCATAATCCAGGTAATTATCTAAATTCCTTTTAATTCTTTGCATTTGTACAATCACAGATTAAAAATCAGAAAGCAAGAAACAGTGGGCTGGGGCTAGCTCCCTGGGAGAGTGCTTGCTTAGCACGTACAGTACCCTCATTTCAATCCTTGCTACCACAGGAAATAAATTTGTTTGATTTTTTTCCACTTATTAATGGTTGTCAGTATTTTCATTTGAGGCAGAATTAGACTTGAGTATTATTTGGAAATCTAAATATCAAGAATAATTTTTAAGCAAAAACGTTTGCAAGTGTTAATTCTGTAAATTATTTTGTGCTTTATCGCTTTCCTATCATTGGGCTTTTCTTTATTGTAGAAAGCCTATTTGTTTTTCCGTGTCAATGGAATTATCGACCAGATCACTGTATATATGGAAGCAACTGCCGAGAAGCAGAAGAGGAAGGAGTCTTCATTCTTCATGGAAACAGAGGTGTTTACCATGATGACAAGCAGCCAGCATTCAGAGCTATGTATGAAGCACTGAGAAATGTAAGGTTTGCTGTCCTGAAGTTGTCACTTAAATTTACAGCGTTATGAAGATCGCACATACAATGTGAAGGATTTTCTTTTCCTGTGTTGTGAGGTCATCAGCTCCCAAAACTTGGCTTTGTGGTTTGTTACAGGTTCTCTTTCTCTCTGCACATTGCTGAACATGAATTGTATATAATATCCTCTTGACTCCTAAAAACTGCAATGTTTTTTAGTAAGACTAAGGATATTTTTTATTAGCCATTATACAGATGCTCTTGCTTTGCATTTTATCTTTTCTTATCAGCAAGGTTGTAGCTTTATAAAATCATAAGGGTATTTATATAAGTTTCAGAGAGGAGCCTGACCAGGGACTGCTGGAAACAGCATGACTGAGGACCGAGCTGTCTCTGAACTGTGGGTGCAGACTGTACCTGCTGCAGTCCGCCCTTCCAGTGGTACCCGTCTGTTAAACAGTGGCTGTCCAACAAGAGAAATAGTGTTTAAAATGGAAAGCCAATCAAAGCGGGAACACTCTGATGCTCTGTAGGCATTCGCTGTAGACTTGGGATGAAACTTCCACCCAAACATTCCAAACTCTTTGGATGATGACAGAGATTTTTGTCCCACCTGGTCCTGCAGCCATTCAGTCCCAAAGAAACACACAGAGGTCTACATTAATCATAAACTTGTTGGCCTATTAGCTCGGGCTTCTTATTAACTCTTATAACTTATTTTAGCCCATAATTCTTGTCTGTGTCAGCCACATGGCTTGGTACCTTTTCGGCGAGGCAGTCACATCTTGCTTCCTCTGTGTCTGAATGACGACTGCAGACTGCATCTTTCCTCTTCCCAGAATTCTCCCCTTCTCATTGCCCCGCCTCTGCTTCCCACCTGGTCACCCCACCTATACTTCTTGCCTGGCTACTGGCCAATCAGCATTTTATTAAACAAGTACAAGAAACAAATCTTTACAGGGTAAAAACATTGTCCCACACCATTTGGATATATGAATGCCAGGGACTGGGGTGATACTTCCACCAAAACAACTAGATGTTAGTACTTTCCTGTGGCGTGAACCTTAGATCCTCTCAGAAAGCAGTTGATTACCCCATAGTAGTCATGTCACTATTGCCCAGTGGGCGCATCATCTCTTCATCAGTCTCCATAGCACCTGCCAGTGCTGCTGGAGCTGAGTCAGCAGGGAAGTAGCTTCCAGTGCGGTACCAGCTTGATTTGTAGCTTTGGTTTCTTTCCCTAGGTGAAATTACCCCCCAGGAATAATCTTGGTTTATTTTTCTCAGATTTTAAGTTAAATTTATGATTTTGGTTTTTACTAACTTCAGACTTTCATGTAAAATGTTCTGTTTTCAAGACTCATCCATCTTTTAAATAGAAAATAGTTGAAAACACCAGATCATGTTTAGTTATTTCTATTATTAGAAATAATAGCAATGCATATTATTTCCACTTAGTTCTGCAATGTGTTTCACTGTGTCACTTGAAGATCTATATGTTGTACATTATAGATGGAAGCTGGTCAAAAATATACTTTAAAATTATTAGGACTATCAGCATGTAGCTGATGTTTCCTGATTTAGTTCATAGACAGTCTTGTGCATTAAGAGCCCCTGGGAACATAGGTGATATTTAGCAGTTCTCAGGTGTGTTTATCCTCGGGTCCTTGTGTGCAGTGTGTTAACAAACATTCCGTTATAGAAAGACATGCCTGAGGTTTGTCAGTGTCTGTGTAGGGAGACTGGATTTTACTCATTGTTTCAGAAACTTCGGTTCATAGTCATCTGATCCCATTACCTGTGGTAAAATGTTGCATCATGTTGGGAGCTGAGCAGAGGAAGCAAGAAAGGAATTAGAGTGCTTCCAGCCTTGTGTCCCCTCTAAGGGATGTCCCCAGTGATTTACCTTCCTACCACTAGACACCTCCTAAATATACCACCACCTCCCAGTATCACCACGATCTAAGGTCCAATCCAATATGTGGATCTTCTGGAGACATGGCCAAACTATAGTAAGTGCTGAACTTCTTTGGAGGCGAACAGTTTCACTCTTGCTGCTCTCTGGCCGTCGTGTTCATGTCTAGGCTCTCGGCCACCGTTGGCACTGTCACTGAGTGCCTTTCAGGAACGGGAACGGCATGCATGGAAAGCCTGCCCCATTCTTTAAATGAACCTAGCTTTTATTAGTTTCTCCAGATGCCTTTAACAAAGCTTAGCCATTTTCTACCAGTTTCTCTGCATCTTTTCTGCTCCTGAATGTGTTCATCCCTTGGCTTGGGATGCCTTTCCATTGCCCTTTTCTGAAGCGTTCAGGAAGACATCGCCCCTGTCTTCAGAGATTCACCATCACAGACTCTTTCTTTCTCTAATAGTTTTGTTTAATTCACTGAAAATATTGATTGAGCGTGTACTTCATGTGAAAATAATAGAAGTTGTTAATAGTTAATACTTAACTGATTGAAGAATTTAACTTGAAAAAAAAATAATCTTTTATTTGTTTTGTTGCCTGTTGTATTTCTTTTCTAGTGTTCTTTTGAAGATGATGCCGTCCGTTCCTTATTAAAACCTCTAGAACTGGAATTACAGAAGACAGTTCACACGTACTGTGGGAAAACATACAAAATATTTATCAAGCAGCTGACGAAAAGCATCAGAAGCCGTTATGACACGCCACCAAGGGAAAGGTGACTCTTCGTGCCTGCTGAGCGACATGGGTGAAGCCGTAAAGCAGCAGGAGAAGTGAAGGATCATGGGAGGAGGATTTGGAAGGCATTTCTGTCTCCAGAAGAACCGTCTTCTGAAAAAGTTAGAAGAGCAGTATATTCAATACCACGAAGAATAAGTTAAACTTTTGGGCTCCAGTAAGAAGACAGTTTTGGTTTCTGATATTTTGTAACATTACTTGGTGTCATTCCAGTGTTAAGGAAAACATTGAACAGAGTGGCCCATTGAGCTGTGTTGGCTCTTGAATCAAGTAATTAAAAACAGTGGTGGGGGGTGGGTGGAGAAGATGTACCTCGAACACAGTGGAGACATTCAAGCTGTGAGTATGGCAGTAACTTTATGTCAGCACTAACCTCACTTTAAAGTGTGAGACAAAGTTTACAGGGGCAGAAGAGTTCTGTTTCTTAAGAAATGTGATGTAACCAATGTAACCATCGACAATCTATGTACCCGCATACATTTCATCTCTCTTCTACAATGTCTTGTGACAATCATGTTTGAAATAATCTGTAGGTTTTTATGTAAGCTGCACATTTAGAAATTAGCTGTATGAGGAGGGAGAAATAGTGAAAACTTGGGGAGGTGTGTGTGTGTGTGTGTGTGTGTGTGTGTGTGTGTGCATGCGCACATGTGCATGTGTGTGCACACGTGTGTGCATGTTGAAAAAAGTTTTATTTTATATGTTTTAAACTATCTTGCCAAATCTAAGCTCTAAGATATTTGGGGACATTTTTGAAATCACTTTTAAGTGAAAAATTAACAGCTTTACTGGGCATTCTGGAAGCAAATATGTATTATCCTGATAATAAAGTGGGAACCTTAATTGTAGCACTAGCGGGAAATGCAGCGGACCAAGTCTACAAGCCTGTGAGATTGAAGTGGTCCATTTAGACTTTCCTTCTACCTCAAGTGCATCTAGGATCCTTTCCAAGAGGCAAATGCAGAGCCTTACTTTAGATTAGACAACTGTGGAAGACAGTTCTGAGGAAGAGGATTTTTATATCTAACTGTAGAAAAAAATCGTTTTGATATGGGTAATGTACCTATTTCCTGTTTTGAATACCATTGAAGACATTTGCCTTTTTAAGTGGGGACCATTACCCTTGTCCTTCTTGTCTTGACCCCTTATGTAACTGTGGATTCTGAGTGGGTAGCATGTATCATGCTGGGGTACATAACTCATCTTACCCAGGGCTCCTGGATTATTGTCTTTTTCTCTTGGGTTTTAATACTTACATGGAGAATGGAAAATTATGAAGGAAACATACCATTTATGAAGATCCTGTATCCTTTACAGTGGAATATTCAAAAGCAGTGATCATTACAGCTTTTCCACCTTCTGCAGGTCTGCCAGAGACATACTGAGAGAAGGTTTACAACACAGTTAAAGGTATTTGTGGCTTTGTGCCCAGAAGAGGGATTGTGAGCCAGCTCAGTCCTCTAGAACAGATGGTCTCAGAGGGCAGCAGCCTCGAGTCCTTGGCGGAATACCGTGGTAAAGTAAGAACCTGTGAGCTGTGTTAACGTTTAGCTTCTTAGAGAAATGAGAACCTGTCCTCTGAAGTTTGGCTATAATCTGAGGGTGCTTGCTAAACACAAATGGCCTACATATACTGTAACTAGGAGTCTCAATTATTTGTTAATTTGAGGAGATTAATTTTAAATGAAGATCAAGAGATAAAATTTTTTAAATGAAGAAATTAAAAATTATATGAAGGTGGAGTAGGGCTATTACAGCTCAATAGTGAGAGTGCTTGCTTAGTGTGCTCAGGGGCCAGCGCTACAGAAAATAATAAATGACAAGGGGTTGAGAGTCTCGCACAGTGGCGCTCACTCTTCAAATCTGTTACCGATCAGTATCTTACCATGTTTACTTCATATATTCCTTTTTCTTACACTAAAGTCTCAGGCATCATTTTTTGTCCCTGCAGTGAATGTTTCAGTAATTACAAGTAACTACAGTAACTACGTTATAGCTAGCAAAAGTGGCAGCTGGCCTTTGGTTTCATCTCATAGTCAGTCCTTAAACGATTTCCCTGCTTGTCTCAGATGTGCACATGAGATGATGATTGTGTTTTTAACGAGTCCTCGGAAGAGCCTGATCCCAGGTAGTTAGGAACTACTGCAAATTAGTCTCCATCTTTAAGGTTGAAGTTGGGGTCACAGTTATTGGTAAAATTGCTAAGTTATAAGTGTCATTTTTGGATAGAGGAAGCAGTTGGAGTTATTGGCAAGATAGGAATTTATATGAATAAGTTCCTTAAGATTTTATTTTTTTCAGTAGCTGGCAATCTCAACCCCATGGGCTTCAGTGTGATTGGTTGAGGACCCTAAAATGCAGTCAAACTTCACTTGTATAAAAACCGGACTCTTGAACTTGGCTGACGATGAAGGCTGACTGAGAAGCCTAGGACAATGGGTTTTGATTCTGCTGCATGTACTGACTTTGTGGGAGCCTAGTCTATTTGGAAGCTCACCTTCCTAGACCTGGATGGAGGGGCGAGTGCCTTGGACTTCCCACAGGGCAGGGAACCCTGACTGCTCTTTGGACTGGAGAGGGGGATGGGGTAGGGGGAGGAAGAGGGAAATGGGAGGAGGTGGAAATTTTTAATAAAAAAAAAGAATTTGGAAAACCTCTAGAAAATATATTGTAAGAAAATGCAGTTTTCGCTTATGAAGAAGAGAGCTCGTGAGCTATGCTGTTTGTCTTTGACACTGTTTGCTCCTGGCTCTTACTTGCTCCTGTCAAATACCAGTGTAGTGACAAGAACAGGTTGGGAACTGGCCTGCATTCCCTTCTTGGGCTTGAGGGGCATGCTGTTGTACACAGTGCCTGAGAAGGGAGGCTTGGGAGGGTGATGGCAGGAAATTTGGTAGCTCTGTAGCCACACCGGTGTTGGCGGAGGCTGACCTACCAAAGGCCGACTCCTGAGGCTGAATGCCTTTTGAGTTATCCTCCAGTGTAGACTTGCTGATGGTATGTGGAAGGATCGTGTTTTAAGGAAGAGAAAGTAGAGATGAGAAGGATGATGCAAATGAATAGTGAAGAAAAAGGAAAAGAAAGAAGGGTAGAAGAATGGCGGAAGGCTGAGTGAGCGGAAAGATGGAGCAACAGTGGGAATGGAGAAGTGGAAGTGGAGGAAACAGGAAACATGGGGTCCCCTGCCTAGGTCGGTGCTTGCCTAGAGTCTCTGGGTGGGGACGGCAGAGCCAGCCTGGTTTGATTTGTTAATACCAGACACATTTCTTGGTCACTTTATTCACTGGTCCTTTAGTAACAGTTCCCAGCATTCTTTGTTCTCTCCCAGGGCCCCCTTTGTGAGCCAGGACCTGTGGAAACACACATGCTTTCTGTTTTGGTGTCCTTCAGCATCTCCCAGGGAAGGAAGGCTGTGAAGGGAACTGCTTCATTGTGTTTGTACGTGGTGTGGCGGTTTTCCCTAGCACTGATAATAGTAGGTCAGTAGGGGAATCACTGCCCTGCCTTGAGGGGCTGAACCAGTGGTCAGTCTGTTCACTTCTCACTGGGGATGCTCTCGGTTGCACTGTTGTGAGTGGATTCAGGCGGACAGAATATGGTAGCAGCAAAACCTTGAACAATATTCATTGTCAGGACAGAGTTGGCCAACGGTTACGAGCACATGTTCCCAGCATCCACATGGTCCGCAGCTGTCTGTAACTCCAACTCCAGGGCATCCAACACCCTCTCCTGACCTCTGTGGACACCACACACACACATGTGGAGCATATACATACACACAGGCTACACACACACAAAATAATCTAAAACAATTCAAGATACTCATTTTCCTTTTCAGTTGTGTACATTGTAACAAATAATACAGGTACAGACAGAGCTTCTGAGACGTTTTAGAAAAATGGTTGAGCTGTCTTTTTCCAAAAGATGTTTTTGGTTTCTTTGAATAAATAGAGAAGAAAAATAGAGTGCAATAATGTCAAGTATGTGATTTCAGGTGTCTTAACTAGTGATTGCCTTACTACATTTTGATATTAATGAAGGTGGACAGAGATGACCAGCACCGCAGGAGTCATCTCTTCCTGTGTTGCCAAAGCAGCCCTTATTGTCTTCTAAAGCCTGGCTGACAATAAAGCTAGATTTTAAAAACTAAGATATATAAATTTAAGACAGTTGTCTACGAGCTGCTATAAGGATTAAAACTGGGCATGATAGCACCCGACACTTGGGACAGTGAGGTACATTCAAGGCCAGTGTGGCCTTTCTTGAGATTTTGTCTCAAAAAGAAAAAAAAAAAAACAACAAAAAAACCCACAAACAAAAGCTTAAAAAAAGTGTGCTTTTTTAATACTATAGTAATTAAGGACCTTTGAGAAATCGTTTCATAGCATACTACAAGCAATCTACAGTTGATTACATATCAGTGACAGGTTTACTTTTGAAAACTTGTCACCTCATCCCAACTAATAATTGCAAGGGATCTATTGGGATTTCCTTAGATTTTTCTATAAATTGATGTTTCAAACAATTGGGAACTTTGTAGGGAATTTCTCTGAATAATACTGTGAATACCAGATATTTTACTACCAAACTTGATGACTGATCGGAGCCTTCGTCTTGTGTAGATTATGTGTGCCGTTGAGCTACGGGAGCATATTCACACGCGCAGCTCGCCGTGTGTGTGCTAAAAGTTATGAAGAGACTGTGATGCCCGCACACCGTTTAAAAACCCAGAGGGTTTTTACTGCAATAGTTCAGTAGGGGAGTTCTATTTGAACTGCTACAAATGGACTTTTTTTAAAAAAACTATAAAATAGCTATTTTCAATTTTTATATAAAATCTCTTCAGGGAATACTGAGATGTTACAAAATAATCCGTAGCTTGTGACCTTGCTGTAGAACTGCTGTCTGTTCAGAATTGAGCAGAATATGCCGTCATATTTAATAATTACCATTGACGCTTGAGAGTTGCATCGGAGATGTTTATAGTGCTGGATCAGTCTGTGAGCTGGAATTACAGAACTGGTGTTGGCTTCCGCCAGGTGTTTTGCATGAGTCTATTAGTGTGCTGTGTAGAGTTGTCTGAAACTACAGGAAGGCACTGGGATGAACCGTGCTGCGTAGAGATTACTGTCTCGAAACCGCTTTTACCTTAAACTATTTTGGTTTTATAATAATGTGAATATCTTGAAATATCTTACTTTTATATCTTGAAAATTCTTAAAAAGGAGTATAAAATTATAGATTGGGGGCTAGCTTACCAATATTGGAAGATGCCTTATTCTGTTTTGGAGGGGTTCAGCTCAGGTTTTTCTTGAAAAACTGTATTGCTGTTACTAAATATGTACTCAATAAATATTGGATTTTCTCATGTGTCTTATTTTGCCACGCAAAACCATTTTACAGACTGAGCAGATGACTCAGCAGTTAACAGCACTTAGTGCTCTTGCAGAGGACCTGAGTTCCATTCCTGAATTAGGATCCCCAACACCTAAGAGCGAGGCATGCTGATGCACACCTAGAACCCCAGTGCTGCGGAGGGTTACAGGTAGATCCTGGAGCTTGCTGGCCAACTAATCTAGCTAGTGAACTCTGGTTCAGGGGGCCCCTGTCTTAAAAACCTGGGTATGGTGGCACACAACTTTAAAATTGCAGGACATGGGAGGTGGAGGTGAGTCTCTGGGAGTTGGATGCCGACCTGTCTATAATTCCAGGCCAGCTAGGGCTACACAATGAGACCTGGTCTCAAAACAAACTGCCCCATGACAGAGGAAGGCACTCAACATGAACCTTTTGGTCTGCAGATGTGCACAAGCATATTCCGCAAATACACAGTATCAAGAAAATGTGATGTTCAATCCCCTGCACCAAAAGGAAAGATAAGGGGGCTGGAGAAATGGCTCAGCTGCTCTTCCAGAGGTCCTGAGTTCAATTCCCAGCAACCACATGGTGGCTTGCAACTATCTATCTATAGTGGGATCTGATGCCCTCTTCTGGCATAAAGTCATACATGCAGGTAGAGCACTCATAAATCTTAAAGTTTTAAAAAAAAGATAAATGAGAACAACAGTTAGAATCTGCTTGGGTTGTGTAATGAAGTAATCTCTGAAGGATCAGTTTTAGAGGGGCTAATTCAGCAAATGCAAACTGTCAAAAAGCTCGTACCTCATCTCCATCACCAGATGAAGGTTTGTCCCTGGATTTAAAAATGACTTCCCTTTGAAGAGGAATTGCCGCTCAGAGCAACCAGAGCATGAGTTCTAAGTGAAGTTGCTAGTGAAGGAGGCTAGGGTTTGGGGTGTAGCTACTGGGCAGGCACACACCATATTTTATTTTACTGGTGAGCATTTGCTATCATTTTAAGGACTAAAAGCTAGATCTCTGGCAGAGTGCCCTGACTGTGCCAGGGACTGGTTTTGTTTTAGCAAGTCTGTAATGTTAAGAGCCAAGCCTTCAGTTTTCTGTATTTTATTTCTTATACAGCACAGGTCAGTTGGCTGTTTCCCGGAGTGTGATGATGTAAGGGGTTCTAAGAAGACTTGAAACATTCCTTAAGATTGGTGATGAAGGGACTGGAGAGGTGACTGCTCTTCCAGAGTACCTGGTTTTGATCCCCAACACCCACATGGTGGCTCACCATTTGTATCAACAGTCCCAGGAGATTTGACACCCTCTTCTGTTCCCCGTGGTTAGTGCATACACATGGTGCACAAACAATTCATACAGTCAAGCAAACATAAAATCTAAAAACATTTCAAAATAAATAAATTGGTATAAATTAGTATAAAAAATTGAAAGCCCTCTTTTATTCATGTACACCCAGAACGTTAGGTGGGTTTGTTTTTCTTTGTTTCTTGGTTGTGGGATTGAACTCTTGGTATGTACTTCAGTTCTGGAATTGTGCTATGTACATGTGTGAAATGTAGACATGGTCATGAAAACCCCTGTGCATTGTCTCTCACATGTTACATGGCATTTGGTTTTCCTCATTTTTATAGATTTCTGTTATTTTCAGATA